ATTTCCGTTGTGTTTTATGTGCTTTTGCAGCGTTTTTCTTATTGCTGGTGTGTTCTTAAGTTGCAGTCCGTTTGGCCTCTCAGGGCCACCGTATTTGACTCTACTAGCTGAGTTTTTGGAACCAGAGAGCTGCTTCACGTAAGCAGAAAAAATGTATTTTTGGACTGGTCTCACGTTTGAGTCTCAGCAGCTAATCACTTACAGTCCATCACATCCCACCTGACTATAAAAGAAAAGGTTATGAATTGAAACAGGTTACCTGGAGCGTTATTAAACCGATAAGTATATAAAAATACTAGATAACAGTTTTAAACGCTCGCTGTTGAAACATGTTTTCTTTGTTTTCCAGATTGTTCTATATGTCGACACGCCCTCCTGTCAGATTATAAGAACTCTATCAAGCAGTGAACACTTGAGGTAGATTTTCATGTCCCAGCAATGAGCTTCATAAATACACCTCTGTGCCTGCTTCTTGGTACTGTGCTAGAGCTGCACACTAGCTAATAGTTTAAATGTTCACTTCACTGGACGTGTGTTTTTTTAATGAACTAATTTTTCAATCAATTTGATTTTATTAGAGCCAATTAAAGTAACAAATAAGGTGTTACTGGGCTCATTATGAAGCTCATGATGAGTCTCTGTCTGATATTCATGGATATTTTCATCCTGAGCTTTGTAATAAAGGACTGTAAATCTCACATTTTGCTCTCCTCTGATTTCTTCAGCATGAAATTTTGTTTTTATCTGTCACAAGTTTAAAATAAATTACGCACATTTCAAAATGATACCTGGAGCCTGCAGTGCATATGTATTTACTTGTTATTTAAAAGTCGATTACCCCAGTCCAGAGTTCCTCAGTTTGACATCACGTGCTTACCCATGTCTCTGAGCTCCATGGTGACGTCCAGGTAGCCGTGCTCCGCGCTGTAGTAGGCTGCCTGCTGCAGGGCCTTCATCCTGTTCTTACACAAACTCGGAATAATGCTTGGGGAGTCAGGAGCTAGAGGCTGTGTTGAAATTTTTAGTTCCTCTTCCTCCTCATCCTCCACTCCTTCAGCCAGGATCTCTTCCAGAGAGAGGATGTCCTCCTTCCTGTGCTGTGGCTGCTGCAGAAGCCTCCTGAGGATGTTTCTGCAGGTGGAAAGGGCAAATCTGTTGCTATGTATGTGTGAAAGAGCAAGGTAAAACAGGAAGTGGAAAATGTGGAACTTTAAGTCTCACCTGTGCCCATGTGCTGCTGCATAGCTAAAGCAGTTCATGTCTTCATACAGCGGTGAATTCCCATGATGCACTTTGATCAGAGGGTCTGCTCCGTGAGCGAGCAGCAGGCTAACCATGTCGTAGTAACCTGAGAAGATCGGATGTTCTATTGGTGGATCCATTCGAAACAAATACACTGACACACACACGCGCGCTGTCTTTCACTATATCAGCAAATATCTCATGTGACCACGAGGCCCCTCGTAGAGCCTAAACTGGCACCACTGTCAGTATACAAGTCATTATTCTGCTAAAACATCTACTCATACAAATAGTTTTCACCAAACAGTCAAACACACGAAAACCTCAAAATAGATGTTATATTGTAACCAGTTTTTATTTACACCACTGTAATTTATTCTTATTAACAATGTGTTTCTGATCAAAAAGGTCCACTTTGGTAAAGCTACAGTTTTGTCAGCTAACTTCAGATTACACACGCTAAAATGTTCAGCAGAATGATACCTGCTGCAGCAGCTAGCTGTAGCGGTGTCTCAGCGGAGCTCTCCTGACTGTCCAGCAAGGCTCCACCCTCCACGTCTGCACCGGCCTCCAAAAGCAGCTGCCAGCATGAGAAACACAATACTGTGAGAGCCTCATTCAGTCAGACCATTGCAGCAATTCAAATGCTAATTTCAGTAGTTCAGTGAAATGTTTTTCTGCTGATGGAGTCTGTTTGAGGGACTCACCTGAGCCACGGACAGGTGACTGTGAAGTACAGCAAATGTTAAGGCCACCCAGTGCCGACTGCCTGGGTAAACAGACGGATGTCTGGCAGAGCTGCCAGGGACCTGAACATAAAGCACACACATACTTCACAACCTGTTGTTATGCACTGAGGTTTTACCTACACCACCATCACTCTTTACCTGCATGTCCAGGTGAGCTCCGGCTTCAATGAGCATCTGCACTAGTGCCTCATCTCCTGCTGCTGAGGCGTACATCA